TGTTTGGATGTTCCTATTAGGTAGAATTCTACCTATTTGATGTTGGATATATGATAAGTGGGAATTTTGACTATTTATTAGTGCCTTTGTTCCCAAAAACTGATGAAATATTCTTAAATGCAGGAGTATTGGAAAATGAGCCATAAAGATGAAATCCAACTCCGAAATGAGGGATCTGAACTCAAGGACAAAAATCGGCCATAAAGGCCCAAGTTGCGGACCGTAGATTTCCATCTGCGGCCGCAGAATATGAAGGAAAATCCATCAGGGTCCAAGTGTAAAGTGCGGACCGCACAAGTATTGTGCGGACCGCACAAGTATTGTGCGGACCGCACAAGTATTGTGCGGCTGCAGAAGCTATATCAGAGCAGAAGTTCATAGAGTTGATATCTCAAGACTACAGAAATATGTGAACATCACTATTATTGTGCGGCAGCAAAAGTCAGCCACGCGGCCGCACTATGAATTGTGCGGTCCACAGAAGGGCCATGTGCGGCCGTACCAGGACTTGTGCAGACCGCAGAACATTCAAGATGCATCCGCAGATCCAGCTCCTGTCAATTTTGAAGAAAAGTGCGGACCGCACATGGAATTGTGCAGCCACAGAACCTCCGAAAGGGCAATTTTGTTCGAAATTTTCAGCTTTGTATAAATAGACTAGTTTCACGAAATTAGGTCAACTTTTGAATATTCGAACTCCTATAGCCGTTTTTCCTTACTACTTTAGGCAACTTTAGCTTACTTTGGTGATTTAACATTGGATTTTTGTCTTTTATTCATTCAATATGAGTTTTATCATCTTTTCTTCTCTATTTTCTTCATTACCCATTATGAGTAGCTAACTTTTAACTAGGGTTGTGACTCAACCGGACAACCCTAGTGTGTAAACCTAATGGGTGTTTAATTTATGGCTTGTTTATGATTGAGTGTTTATTATTTAGCCTTGTTCTTGCTTTTAATTGTAGAATTAATGGTTGCAAACATTAGTTCATGCCTATTTGACTTGATCTCTACTTGAGAAAGAGAGACTTAATCTAGGAAAACTTGGCTAACAAGAATTTAGGATGAATTCAAGAGTTTGATAGTCCCAATAAAGGGTTGAACCTAGAGATAATAAAACCCAACTTGAGCATTTTATAAACTGATTTGGTCAATACCCATTTGGACTTGAGAAAGCCAAATTGGGCAAAATCATTCTCTTACAAAGAGGTATTGAGTGGATACTTGAGTGTTGATTGCTATAATACACCCCGACTGATAAAATAAGCTTTAAAATTTATAACCCGTTAGGCAAAATATCTAGGCAAAGGTCATAGCCTTAGGCCTTTTATACTATTTGAAAAGCATCCAAAAATAATATTCTCAAGTTTCATATCTTTAGAATTGTAATCTTTAGCGTAATTTTAAAAGTAAAAATAAAACAATATTTGTGGAAGTGCAATCTAGATACTTCACGTGCTTAGTCCAAATATATACTACTTTATCCCATTCATATAGCTCCCTGTGGAATTCGATTCCAACTCTAGTGGGTATTACTATTGCATTGATCATTTCATAACCTCAAATAGAGGTATGGCTTGGACGAGATCAATATAACGCAAAATTTTAAAAAGGCCTTTGACAAGTTTCATCTTTTTTATGATGGATTTTCTGCTTATCTTTGTTCTCATCTTTTTTAAGACGTTAGTAATGCAGGTCATCTTGAATTTGATGATTGGGTGAATGTGAGGAACGTGATAAAAGTTTCTTGTAAGATTTCATGAGCTTACCAAAAAAGTTTCAGGTTCACGTTATGTCACTTGTTAGAGGACTCATAAGGTTATTCTTGATTCAATATTCAAACTTCATCTTTTTGATCATTTTATCAATCCTACCCATTTCAAATCATGATATTCATATTTATCATGGCTGAAACACCTTTCACTTTCATATGCATTTATTTATATCTTGGGGATACTCTAGTCAACCTGTTAGGGTTGTGATTAGTCATAATTAATATTAAAAAAATTTGTAGCTTTATAGCAGAAAAGACAACAACTATCAATAATGAGCAAGACAAGGAAAGATCGTCTCTCTTTCATCTAGTGCAGACTCAAAGTTTTAGAAAGAATTCACTCTTAGCTTGAGACTAAGACTTCAAGTCTTTCTAGAAAGCTTGTTTGATGTAATGCATACGTTAGTTTGATATCTATCTAATTTTGGTCATAGAGAAATTATTGGCTGAAAAATGAGTTTGAAGAAGAAGAAGACGGGGAGGAGGAGAAGAAGTAAAACAACTATTGTAGGAAAATTAAGTTTTTTTAGCAAAATTTATATTTTTCGACAAAAGTATTTATTTTAACTTAATATAAGAACATTTCATGCTCTTAATTTTAACTGAGAAGCACACCATGCCAGCATCTCATGTTTAATGGATACACTTTGAGCAATAGTCAGATGTTCAATAAGTACCTAGTTTAAGTGTCTAAAAGAAGAATCCAAACAAGTTTAGGGGATATCTTTATATCCAGCCTTTCACAAATTCATATTTGTCACATATAATACGTCTTACTATCCTTCTATTTTCTTTCTTTTGTTGGAATCGATATTATTTATTGCCTAGGTTTTTATAATGACTCGATCGGACATTTTGAGCATTTGCATTCAGTTTGTAGTTTGAGGTCATGAGTAGCTTCATATGGTATATTACGACTCATGTGTATCAGTGATTTTGGGTTTTCGAGTAGTTCGAGATTGATTTGGAAGAATGATACTCAAGTAGGAAAGGTTTAAGTTGGAAGAGTTGACCAAGTTTGACTTTTGGGTAACTTGTCACGCCCCGAACCATGGTCTGGGCGTAACATGGCACTCGGTGCCTGACTGCATGTGACCGAGCGAACCAACTGTATGGCTGGATCAACATGTGGTATAACTATGAGCTAGAGGTAAATATAAAACATGATAATCTACTAAAGAGTCTGATTGAAATATCATAGATGTAGAAAATACTGAAAGGTCTGCAAGTATAAACAAGTAGCCGATAAGGCTAACACGTGAAAGCCTGCTAATATCTTACTGACTGGATTATAGTCTACGAAACCTCTAAAGAATACTGAAAATGCTAACTGTTTACCGGGACAAGGTCCCCGGTATACCTTATTAACTGAAATACTATAAGGACCGGAAAAAAAAGAAGAGGGACAAGGCCCCGAAAGATTGGGGCTCACCAATAGCTGATACGAGATGTCCTACCAAGTAGAATCGTCAACCTCTAAATCATTACATGTATCGCGAGATGCAGGACCCGGGCAAAAAAGGACGTCAGTACATTTGAATTGCACTAGCATGTAAAACATAGGAGTAAGGTTATGAATACTCCTTCTTCTGAATAATGAACAACTTGTTTATCTGAATATTAAACTATGGCCTCAGGCCCAATATATGTGTGTGTGTGTGTGTGTGTGTGTGTGCGCGCGCGCACGTGCACAACTGCGGCCTCGGGCCCAAGTATACGTATACATAACTGCGGCCTCAGGTCCAAAAATGCATAAAGCATAAATTGCGGCCTCAGGCCCAAATACAGGTGTTCAACATTCAAAGATTTAAAATCAGGAACTGAGAATCATACTGCAATATATGATAGTGAAATACTGAATCACACTGAGTTACATGATACTAGAATACTGGATCATACTGGGTTACATAATACTGGAATACTGAGTAGGATTAGACTGAGACATGTATTCTTGAACTAATTATGAACACTGAAACTTCAACTTTTTATGACATGCTGAGTAAGCTATATTGAGACTCAGGGACATTAAACCCAAGCCTATATTGAATACGAACTGAGCTCACAACGTTCAGAATGAAAGTCATGAACGAGTGATGAAGCTAGAGAATAAAAGTTCTACAACTATTTAAGAACTAGGCTTAACTAAATTACTGAGGCAATTGATAACATTGTAAGAACACCATAGTGTATGGGGAATTATTAACATTCCCAAACATAGAGAGTTAGCCTCACATACCTTAACTTCCTGCTCTTGAGCGTAATACAATGTTTGTCAATTCTTTCGATTTTAATCTATAGCAATACAAGTCAAAAGGATTCCATATTAGCTATGATGCTCATGTTTTGGTCACTTAAGCATCTTATCAAACACTTAGTGAGAATAAAGCTTCATAGTCATTATTAATGGTATCCTTATTAATGGTATCTCTACACCCAATAACCTATTCTCTTGTTCCTAGATAAATTCTAAAGTCTCAAACGGTTATAATCATCATTATTCTTTATCACCTATAAGGTAAACAACACCTTTAACCAATAATCAATACTCCAAACCTATAATCGTTCATACTTTTCTATCAAACCCATCAACTCATATGTCATGAACTAGAGTCTATAATTATAAACCCAATGCTAGAATCAATTAGAGGGTGAAGACATTACCTTTTTGAAGTTCAATCCCCTTGAATTCGAGTTCTAAGGTTTCTTCTCTCAACAATGATGTCCCAATCGAATATCTAATGTTATGGAGGGTTTACCCATGTTAATAAGGTGTTGGGAAACTGAAATTAACTTAGAATCACTATTAGAACTTACCTTGGGTGGTGAAGGGACCATTAAGGAGTTAGGTTTTTTAGAGCTTTCCTTTCCAGAGAAAGTTTTTATGTTTTGAGGCTGTGGGGGACGAAATAGGGATAAAAGAATGACTCCCCAAGTCCACCACTACGGCCCGATTGCGGTAAATAGCAGGAACACTGCCTCGCAACCGTTTTACAGAACGGGCATAACCTTTTGTACAGAGCTCTGTTTGGGCTTCACAATATATCGTTGGAAAGCTATTTCAAAGGCCTGAAACTTTTATGATTTGAGGTTTCCCAAATTCCTTACACTTTTTTACTAAACCCTTCTGGAAGACGGACCTTCTACAAACTTAGTCGATTTTGTCAAATCTTATGCACCTCACTTTCCATATGGAAAGGTAATTACCTTCCACATTTTCCTTTTGCTATTAAAAGAAATAGGGATATCTGGACTTCATGTCCTCTTCGGCTTCCCATGTAGCCTTTTCAACCTTTTGATTCCTCAAAAGCACTTTTACTGAAGCAATTTCCTTAGTTCTCAGCTTGCGGATTTGACGATCAAGAATAGCCATTGGAATTTCTTCGTAAGACAAGCTGTCTTTAACCCTTATAATCTCTATAGGAACCACAAGTGACGGGTCTCCCGTGAATTTCTTCAACATAGACACATGAAACACTGGGTGTACAGCAGCTAGTTCTTGTGGCAATTCTAACTCATAAGTCACTTGTCCGATCCTTCGCATGATTTTATATAGCTCAATATAGTGAGGACTAAGCTTCCCCTTCTTCCCAAATCTCATAACGCCTTTCATGGGCGATACTTTTAGAAACACCCAATCATCAACTTGGAACTCTAAGTCTCTATGTCGCACGTCCGAATAGGACTTTTGGCGACTTTGAGCCGTCTTCAAATGCCTTTGTATCAAGTTGACTTTCTCCATAGTCTGATAGACCAAATCGAGTCCTAACAACTCCGCTTCTCCGACTTCAAACCAACCAATTGGTGATCTACACTTTCGCCCATACAGAGTTTTGTACGGTGCCATCTTGATACTAGAGTGATAGTTGTTATTATAAGCAAACTCAATGAGAGGTAGATGATCGTCCCAATTACCTTTAAAATCGATAATACACGCCCTCAACATATCCTCAAGAGTCTGAATGGTGCGTTTCGCCTGGCCATCTATCTGAGGATGAAAAACGGTGCTTAGGTTCACCCTTGTGCCCAATCCCTTCTGAAAGGATTTCCAAAAGTTCGTTGTGTACTGGGCACCACGATCTGAGATAATGGACAAAGGAGTCCCATGCAATCAGAAAATTTCTTTAATATACAACTTGGCATAATCCTCGGCTGAATCTGTAGTCTTCACTAGTAAGAAGTGAGTTGACTTGGTAAGTCGGTCTACAATCACCCAAATCGAATCATGCTTCCGAAACGAGTGAGGTATACCTATTATGAAGTCCATGTTTATCATCTCCCATTTCCAGACGGGAATTTCTATATTCCGGGTTAAACCGCCAGGTCTCTGGTGTTCGACTTTCACCAGTTGACAATTTGGACACTTAGCCACGAAATATGCCATATTCTTTTTCATATCGTTCCACCAATAAACCTCCTTAAGATCATGATACATCTTTGTGGAACCTGGGTGAATAGAATACCTGGAATTGTGGGCTTCTGACATAATCCGCTCTCTGAGCCCATCTACGTCTGGAACGCATAGTCTGCCTCTATACCTCAAAGTACCATCATCTCCCCCTTGTTCAAAAGCCGTAGTCCTGTGTTTGTGAATTCCCTCCTTCAGTTGCAATAAGTAGGGATCACTAAACTGTTTTTCCTTCACTTCGGCTACTAAGGAGGATTCAACCTTGTTTTGGAGAACAATGCCACCATCTTCGGAGTCCAAAAGTCGAACTCCTAGATTTGCTAAGCAGTGGACTTCCTTCATCATAGTTCGCTTGTCTGCCTCAACATGAGCTAAGCTTCCCATAGAACGCCGACTGAGAGCATTAGCTACAACATTTGCTTTCCCCGGATGATAGAGGATATCAACATCATAATATTTAAGTAATTCGAGCCACCTTCTCTGATGTAGATTTAATTCTCTTTACTTGAAGATGTACTGGAGACTCTTGTGATCTGTAAAAATGTCAACATGCACCCCATGCAAATAATGGCGCCAGATCTTAAGCGCAAACACCACAGCTGCTAATTCAAGATCATGAGTCGGATAATTCTTCTCGTGAGCCTTGAGTTGTCTCGATGCGTAGGCTATGACTTTACCGTGTTGCATTAATACACACCCACGACCAACCCCTGAAGCATCACAATAAACAACAAACCCTTCGGTTCCTTGCGGTAGTGACAGGACCGGAGCTGAAGTCAACCTCTCCTTTAACTCCTCAAAACTTTTCTCGCACTTGTCCGACCATTGAAACTTGACTTTCTTCTGAGTTAATCTAGTCAAAAGGGACGATATAGAAGAAAATCCCTCTATGAAATGCCTATAATAGCCTGCTAGACCCAAGAAACTTCTTATATCGGATACTGAGGTGGGTCTAGGCCAATTCTTCACTGCCTCTATTTTCTGAAAGTCCACCTTCACGCCTTCCCCTGAGATGACATGGCCCAAAAATGCTACTGATTTCAACCAGAATTCACACTTAGAAAATTTTGCATATAGATTGTGATCATGCAGTGTTTGCAACACAATTCTGAGATGTTCTGCATGGTCAGTCTCGCTACGGGAATAAATCAAGATGTCATCAATAAACACGATAACGAACAAATCAAGATAAGGCTTGAAGACCCTATTCATAAGGTCCATGAAAGCTGCTGGTGCGTTCATTAAATAGAATGACATTACCAAAAATTCGAAATGCCCATATCGAGTCTTGAAAGTTGTTTTTGGAATATCAACTTCCTTAACCTTCAACTGATGGTATCCCGATCTGAGGTCAATCTTGAAATAACACTGGGTACCCTGAAGTTGATCGAATAAATCATCTATTCTGGGAAGAGAGTACTTGTTCTTGATGGTGACTTTATTCAACTGACGATAGTCAATGCACATGCGCAAAGACCCAACCGGTGCGCCCCAAGGTGAGATACTTGGCCTTATAAATCCCTTATCTAGAAGATCTTTCAACTGGACTTTTATCTCTTTCAAATCTGCTAGAGCCATTCTATAAGGCGGGATAGATATTGGCTTAGTGCCTGGAAGTAGATAAATTCCAAAGTCAATCTCTCTATCGGGAGGGATTCCAGGGATATCTTCGGGAAACACTTCTGGGAACTCATTTATAATTGGTACCGACTGGAGAGTGGGAATGTGAGCATCTGCATCCTTAACTCGAACCAGGTGATAGATATATCCTTTGGAGATCATCTTTGTGGCTTTAAGATAGGAAATAAACCTACCCCTAGGTGTTATTGCATCACCCTTCCATTCTAAGACTGGTTCATCGGGAAATTCAAAACTTACTATTTTGGTTCTACAACCCACCGTGGCATAACAAGACTCTAACCAATCTATGCCCATGATCACATCGAAGTATACCATCTCCAATTCTACTAAGTCTGCTATAGTAAGACAATGATACACTTTGACTGGGCATCCCCTATAGATATACCTTACTATAATTGAGTCTCCAATTGGAGTGGACACTTCAAAGGGTTCGCACAACTTTTCTGGTTCTATCCTAAATTTCTTAGCAATATATGGGGCTACATAAGATAGGGTGGATCCCAGATCTATAAGAGCATAGACATCAAAAGTGAATATTGTTAGCATATCTGTGACAACATCTCTACGAGCCTCTGTATCCTGACGGCCTGCCAGTGCATACAAGCGGTTTTGACCACCGACTGCATTACTAGACATTGTTGCACCGTGCCCTTTTTGGGATTGAGAGTTATGATGGGCTGCTAAATTAGTGGACTGAGCTTCATTGCCTCCATTGTTCTGCTTTGCCGATGGACAATCCCTCAAGAAGTGGCCCTGCTGACCGCACCCAAAGCAACTATTTGTGCCCGAATGACACAACCCTGGGTGCCTCTTACCACACGTGTTGCAAATAGGGTAACTAGGGACTCTGTAGCCCACACCAGCCTATGATTGTGAACCTACTGCTCTAAAATTTTGGTTTTTCTTGTTAAACTTAGACCTCTGAACCGGTGCACTAGCTGAAGATGGAGCGGGTCCTGATTTTGATTTCCTGAAGAATTGGCGATTGCCTCTTACTTGAGATCCCCCATGGCTGAAATTTCCTGCAGACTTAGCTCTCTTGATGAATTCCCTGTCCTTCTCTTTCTGTAGCCGCTCTTCTTCCTTCAACCTGTCTTTGTTCCCTTGAACAAAGGCAACCATCTTAGTAATGGTCATGTCATTATTCTGAGCAGCTATATTAGCATCAGCAAACAAATCATCTGAAAGCCCCAACACAAACTGCCTAACTCTGGCCCTCATATCACGTACCATTTCCGGAGCATACTTGGCCATAGAGATGAACTTGAGGTAGTACTCATTCACACTTATATCATTCCGTCTGAGTCTCTCAAACTCCAAAGCCTTAGCTTCCAAGACCTCAATGGGTAGAAAATGATCAAGGAACACATATGCAAATTCCTTCCAAGTTGTAGGAGTCGCATCTTCCCCTCGGGACTCTTCCCATGTTCCATACCAAGTGTTGGCAACATTCTTCAGCTGGTACGCAGCAAGATCTGTTACCTCAGTGTCTATAGCATGCATCACTCGAAATATCTTCTGAACCTCATCAATGAAGTTTTGTGGATCCTCATCGTTTTTGGACCCTGTGAAGACGGGAGGTTTCATCAGGAGTCCTCAAAGTTAAATGCACATGATGCAAACAAATATGTCTACTAGGGTTCCAGCACGAGGCTATGTTATTCTAGGTTTAAATCCTGAGTGTATTGTTCTAGACCTGGCTTACTCGAGTGGACAACTCGAGCCGGGGGTAACGTATCGGGAACCAAAAAGTCATCCGGCTTTGTAACTGATCCGATCCTCGTTTTAAATTAGGGTATGACACTAACAAAAAAGAAATCACGCCAACGTGCACTTCCCAAAAGATTAGAAGAGAAGAGTTTCGCAACAGTTTATATATAATTCAAATAATATCAAAGCGGTAAAAAGCGGCATTTAGCACATTGTCCCAAGCATGTAATAAAAATCAAATAATAAATAAAAGCCAAATATAACAATTATTCTAAGCTCGAATTCTAGAACCCTGAACCAGAGATTCTGGGTTGTATTTCCCCAGCAGAGTCGCCAGAGCTATCACACCTCCTTTTTCTACCCCGAAAAGGGGTATAGGGGAGTTTTTCCAATTAAAGTGACAATAATCGAAACGGGATTATTTATTTAAGTTCAGAGTCGCCACTTGGGATAATTTATGGTGTCACAAGTCACCGATTTAAAATCCTGAATTGACGAAGTTTGACTCTATTTTACAGTCCGCGAAACACAGAAATCCGGGTAAGGAATTCTGTTAACCTGGGGGAAGGTGTTAGGCATTCCCCGGTTTCGTGGTTTTAGCACGGTTGCTCAACTATTATTATTGGCCTGATTATCTAATTAATTACATATTTTATACTCATCGTGCATTTTTAACCTTTGACCGATTTTCATTATTTATGGAATTATTCTGGAACAAGTTACAATTGTCGTACACTTGTTTGTTTGGTACATATTGCGAATCGTGTCACGGGAACCATACCCACGATTTACAACATGTTTAATTTTTATTATTATTTAAAGCTGGGGGGTCGAGTCACGCCAACGTGCACTCAAATTTTGGGGTTATGTATCATAACTATGCCACGGGAATCGTTCCCATAGTCACGATGATTTATTATTACTAATCGCGCCTAAAGCAAGCTACGATATTCATAAGTTATTTTCCTAAACTACTTCAAGATTATGGTGAGGCTATGAATTAAGAATATGAAATATAGAAAAATGGGTCAACTTAACAGTACACCAAATCCATAAGATTTAATTGAAAAACAATCAGCACCAAATTC